ATTTTTCTTAAATAAATTAATCATCTAGTGTAAATTGTATTGCTAACATTTTTATATACTAGAAATTAAAGATCAATGAACTAATAGTGTAGTGTACTCTTCTAGTCCTTTCTATAAATTATTTTTACCAACTTTATCAATACTAATGTAAAAAAAAATATAAAAAATAAAAGTATATAAAATTTCAAATATGCCTTTATATAATAAATCTAAAAAAATATATTACGTTATTTTTTTCCTCTCATGGAGGGTAATTTTAAAAATATCTTTAAATATTATTTAAAAACTTATACCATAACCTATAAAAAGGATCATATAGATGTTTTAAAATATATCTTACAAATAAAATTAAAGGGAGTATTTAATAACCTGGGGAAAGAAGAGAGGGAAGCTGTGTTTGTAGGTGATGATGAAGATCCTACACATTCATGAGGAATAAAATTGAAAGTAGCTAGGCCCAGAGACAAAGGAGATTAGTTACTTATTTTATCAGTTTTTGTTTTGTGAATTATTGTTTTCTCGTGATGATGATATGGGCACACATGTGAAGAGGTTGGTACGTGATCATAGTGAATTACCCTTCCCTGGGGCACAATGTTTTGATTAATTTATAAACTTGTAATGCCATTGATTTATATATATATATATATATATATAAATCATAGTGAATTACCCTTCCTTGGGGTACAATGTTTAGATTAAATTATAAACTTGTAGTGCCATTGATATATATATATATATATATATATAAACCAATTATAAATAGATTGCTAGTAAAATAGAATGCAATAATTTGGATATGGTTGCATAAATTTCTTAATCTGGAAATCCGAGGGGTGTGTGTGTATTCAATTTTCACATTGTTTTTTTAGGAGCCGTATTAAAGAATTTATCGGACCAAGTAAAGAAAACACTTCAGGGGTTTTTAATTATGGTTAACAAGCATGTATCATTTTGCATATTTTAGTCATAACACAACCAGATCTGCACGAACATATAACGAGGGTTTTCACTTGTCATTTGAAAATATACAAATGAAAAAGCTAGCACAATTTATCGGTCTAACACTTGTATATTTTCACTGCTTATTTAATCGACTTCTCTTTTTTTTATAAGTCATTTTAGTCTGCCTTAATTTTCATTATGATATTGCAACGGTTTAATTATCAAATTTTCTCATGCATGTGTATGCGTAAATGTTTTAATCAACCAATTAACTGCTTTATCATATTTATTGATTCCTTTGTCTCGAACCACGACAATGGTATAGAACTATTTATATTTAACTAGGTAATAACCTTAGGCCCCCAAAAATCTTCACGTTCTTCTTTGTATCTTTCAGCTTTTAATTTTGAGATGTTTTCAATTTATGATGCTTAGTTGATGACTTGATGAGAGTTGCGTACATGATTAGTATTAGAAAGCTAAATAATAATAATATTCAATCGAGCATTGATGAAATATGACACCATATTAGCTAGATGTATCTATTATCTTCTTCTCCAAACACTAAAATTAATAGACACAGATATGCAAATTGAATATAAAGCACAATGCATGCATGGAAATTGAGTTAGGTGGTGGCTGACAGAATGAGTTGATGTAAGCGAAACATTTATTCACAAGACTGCTTGCAATTACTATGACATGTACAGCCAATAATGGCTGTGAATTTTGCAATCATGGTTATAATAAATGATCCAAAACCACAATTCAGAACAATGATCATTATAATTTAAAACCCTTTAGGGTGAAGGCTGATTAGCAAATAACAACAATCAAATTTATATCAACCACCATCATATGTTAAAGCATGCAATTTTGAGTGGATGTAGCTTGAGTTGATATAAAAAGTCTCATATCAAATAAAATTAATTAAATAACTAATATATATTATAAGGTGAAATGATTCATAAACTTAAAATAAGGATAGAAAACAGATGAGTAAAGAATAGAAAGAGCGACTTCCAAAAATGAGGGGAAAGAATAAATAGATGAAAATAAGTGAAAAGATCATAGATAATTATATTTGATTAATATACAAATTATTAAGCTAATTTTATTCAAGACTTGTCATGAAAACAGGCATGTGTAGCAGAGATGATGGATGTTTTATGTATACATATAGATTACTGTTTTTATTTTTTTTTTCAATTTAATTTGTGACATACATATATATAGGAATATTGTTTACTTTTGTTGCGAGGTAATGAAAAGGAAAAAGCGAATCACGAGCTGAGGGAATCTGCAAGTTATGAGATGGTTAGTGCTAACCACGGGATGAATCTAATATTTGAATTATCATGTTGCCTTGGTTTATTTGCTTCCAAAATAATAAAAATGATTGGTAAAAAATCAAGGAAAAATCACAACCAAGGACCCTGGAGATAATTAATTATGTTACCGGACCAAAGCATTTGATATTACTTGCAAAACTAAATGATCTAAATATAATTAAAATTTATTGTGAAAAGATAAAACTACCTCTCCTATATTTTTGTTGATAAAGGAATTGATTGTTATTAAAATGAGAATGAGATTTGCTTTTTTTTTTTGAATGGAAACTTATCCACCATACTATAACAATTCCTTTATCAAATTAATATTTTATAGTTGTTAATGAAAGAATTAATTATTGTTAAAATAAGACTTGTTTTTTTTTAAATGAAAACTTGTCTACTGAATCACAATACTTGTTTCTCTCCACTACTAAATTAATTTTTTGAAGTTGTTAATAATAGAATTGATTGTTGTTAGAATAAAAATAAGACTTTTTTCTCTCTCTCGAATGGAGACTTATTTACCAAATCATAATACTTGTTCCTTTTTACCACCAAGTTAATTTTTTTAGAGTTGTTAATAAAGGAATTGATTATTATTAAAATGTAAATATGACTTGTTTTTTTTTTTTGAATAAGGAGTTGTTGTTAAAAGAGTACTCTCACTGTTCAAAAATATAAGGCATTTTTAACTAAATCTCACTCCTAATAAAAAGCTGCTTATATTTAAATTAACTATATCTTTTTATATTTACCTTTATTAAACACTTCATAATAAATATAAATTCACTCTCAATAGGGACTTTTTTTTAAAAAAAAGATAATGATTACACTCCGAAAGACTAAAAATATCTTATATTTTTTAACATCCAACTCTTCAAAAAATATTTTATATTTTTTAATGGAGGGAGTATATAATATACACATAAAAGATATCTTTATTTTTTTATAATAAAGGTAGGTATTTTGGTCGTGCAAAGTAACATTACAATTATTTGGTCTTGTAGCATAATTACTTATCTTCAAAACTTCTTGATTGTGATTTTTTCAAAAATTAATTTTAATTTATGATGTATATATTTATGTAATTAGCTTTCAAAAGTTCAACAGTATGAATGCAAGGATCCTATTTATATATGTACATATATAAAATTAAATTGATGACAAAGAATTGGTGAATGAAGAATGATGGAGTAAGATCAACAGGATCTTATTATTTTTTATGATTGAAAAAAAGGATATTTTATTATAAAAAAGGAAGAAGAAATTGGAAGATAAAATAAGAGAATAAAAGAGGAGATACATCGAAAAGAGAGAAAGGAAGCATCAAATGTTGTTTAGCTGTCAATCCCTCCAAGGACTCTCTCACGGGACACCATTTCTAATCTCCTCTCTCTCTATTGAGCCACTTTTACTGATATACCCTTCCGAATTTTATATATTTCCCTTAAACGGCGTGATACTATGATATATGTTGCCGTCACGTTCCCAGAAAACATCAAATTCCTCTGTGCGTGTGTTGGCCCGAAGTTCTTCATCCTCATGAATTATTTCCTCAGAAATGAAGAAAATCACGTGAACCCTTGTATATTTATTTGTATCTTGAACAGTACTATATACATGTATATATATATATATATATATATCGTGTGTTCATATTAGCTAAAACTTTTGCCATGCGCGCCGAATATATTTGCTAGCTACATTATAAGTTTTAGGATCTATATATAAATTGCACATTAATGATTTACCTGTTGGATGTCACTTGTTACAAGAATTATTTATTCATTCTTCGCTTCATGTACTATAAGTCTACGAGACTATGATTATAGCCTAAAGCCTAAACAAAAGGATTCACTGTATAACATATAGTATCATACATACCCCACCTCTCTATCCATAAAAAAAATATTTAAAAGTTATTGACTGTTTTTTAAAGTTTATGTAGTATACTTTTTTTTTTTTTTCAAAGAAAGTTTATGTAGTATGCAAGTCTTCTAGTTCAGTTGAAACACATGGTGATTCTTTTTTTTTTTTTTTTCTGTTGCTGTTCAAAATTATACAGTATTTTTATCTATCTTTCACTCTTCCAGAAAGTATTCGACTTCATTAAAAAATAATTACTTTTTCTATGCCTATCTCATTTAATAGGGTAATTTAATAACAAATAAATATAAATTTTTCATTAATTCAACAGTATTTTTTAAATTAAAAAATCTCATTAATTATTCTTAAAAAAACACACAAATGCATTATATTTTTAAACATAATATCCCTAAAATATACGTCATATAGTTTTGAACAGAGATTTTTTTTTTTTTTGGTTTTTTGGGTGGAGGGGGATGCGTGATTCAATGAAAGAGAAAATGAAATGATTAGCAATTTAACGTGGGTTTGTGCCATCGCTCATGTGTACCACGTAAGACTCGCAAGGATGCAATAAAATACCAGACATTTATGCACTCTCGTGAAAGCTGGATGGATGACTCACTGGTGTGGACTAAAAACTAGGAACGCTAGCTTCCAACAAATTATGAGTCTATTTATTTCCTTCCTAATTTCATTTCAATTTAACATTTTAATGCCTTATTCAATTTTTATTCTCATTCCTACAGTTACCTTGAGGTTTTTGCTATATTCAAATAAAATTCAAGAGTGGGTGTGTATCAGTGTATGCGTCAGAGAGAGAGAGAGGGGGAAGCAAATTTTGCAACAAAGAATGAATGTCCTGATGAGAATTGAAAAATGGGGAAAGGGTCAAAGAGGTAATTGTGGAAGGGAAGAGCATAATTTGATGTGGGGGAGATGAAGCAGTAGAGGCGAAGGAAACAGACAAGAGAATCACATATTTCATTGGAAGGCTCACTCACACTTTCCATATAAAAAAAAATAAAGGCCCCAATTCTCATGGAAGCAGGAAGGAAGCCAGCAACAAGCAAATCCAGAAGAAGAAGAAGAAGAACAAGCATACATGTCTTCCACGAGGGAGAGAAAGAAAAAACATGGTCAAAACAAAGCCTCAAATCATCACCAAGATCAGGAGGCCGAATCCTCCACTTCTTTCCACCATGACTTGCCTACGGTATTATATATGCCTTCTTCTCATTATTGTCTTTCTTATTATGTTCCATGCCTTCACTGACGAATCATGAATTGCTTCAAATTTCATTTGCAGGTGAGGGTGGAAACCCTAGAGAAGGGATTCATGGTTAACGTGTTCTCTGAAAAGAATTGCCCTGGGATGCTCGTCTCCGTTCTAGAAGCCTTCGAACTGCTCGGCCTCGATGTTCTCGATGCTAGGGTTTCTTGTGAAGACACTTTCCAGCTCGAAGCTTTGGGAGGATCCCAAGTATGGAACCCATTAATATTCACTCTCATACTTCATTCTTGATCTCTATTTGCTCCCAGTAAATTAATCTATACGATTTTTTTCAAGTATGTTAAAGTACATACATCTATAAGGTCCCTTGAGATAGTAAGGTTTTAGTGTTTGAGTTAATTGGTGATATTGCAGGGTGAAGAGAAGGGGATAGACGCTCAGGCGGTGAAGCAAACGGTGCTGCAAGCAATCAACAATGTGATGGACTGATCAGAAAGTACTGATAGGAGCGAGAGATGAAGTACCCCTGTTTTTGTCTTTTTCTATTTTTCTTTTCCAAGTGTAAAATTCACATATATTCAAATTCCAAAATGAAAGGCCAAACCTATATTACCTCTTCGAAGTTGGGTGTCAGAACTCTGAACGAATGGACATGAATCAGCCAAGTTGATTTATACACTCTTTTCAGTCTTCCAAGGGCGTGAAAAATGAAATATTTAAAGGAATTAAGCCCTCAAAAATTTTAAAAAAATAAAATACATGCGCTTATTTATTTGAGCAATATTATAAATGCTTTGTCCAACATAATATACTTGGCAAACATCGCGTGCGGTATACCATTATCGAATAAAAAATTTTGGGACCCAGGATCTTATTTACGCACGCACTACTTGCTTATAGCACCTTAAATAAGTTAGCTATGATTTCTTGATTTACATTTACTAATTATTATCTGAGTTGAATAATTGACTGAGTTGAGTGCGTTTAATTCAAAGTGATGAATATTTAAATAAGGTACTATTCATTGTTGGATTTTTGAATGAAACAGACTCGATTCCGTCAAAGTTGATTGCTCTTGAACCTAAAAATATGTATATACTGTACGAGGAGAGCTATCATTAGTGGGTCAAACAAGACTCAAATTTTGACTTAATGGTATCCAATACGAAGTAATTATATAAAGAAATTGTCAAGATTTTTGTTCCTTAAGTTGTTTTAATATCCAAGTTGAATGAACTATGAACTTGAATTGCCTAAGTACAGTGACACTTTATGGTTACGGATGAAGTGAAAAAAGACACCAAGACAAAAAAGACGGGTCCCACTATTTTTCATCATTACAGGAAATAATATATATTTGTGGAGAAATTCTTGAGGTCCTATTTGGTTGGGCCCACAATTTCCCCTCCTCTCTCCTCACCTCTCCTCCTCTCTTCTTCCCTCCCCTCGAATCAAATATATTCTAAATAAATAAAATACATCATATCATTTATAATCTATTCAATCAAAACATAACATTCAAATATCATTAAATATAAAATGATTCTGATATTAATAATAGTAAAGAGAGAAAAAAGCGAGAAATTAAATATGAATTCTAATATAAGAATAAAATCAATTAAAATAATATCATATAAGGTTTTAAATAGATGATTTGGAATATTTTAATTGAACAGGCTATAAATGACTTAGTATACCAATTTACTTAAGAATTTCTCTATATTTATGATGTTTAAAAAAGATTATTGACAGCTAAAATTGATTTTTGGTCAACGGCTAATTGTTCGAGTAACAATATCATTTCTCTTACTTGAAAACTGTTCCAGGTTCGAACAGGCATTGGCATGTTTGTATATGTGCGTGCATGATTCTCCATTTTTTTTACAAGGAAGAGTTAGGTCATGGGTAAAAGTTGAAGTTAATTTTGAACTGAGTTTCTAATATTTGGGTGAGTGAGCTTCTCTCCACCTGGTGTTGCCTTTCATGGCTCGTCACCTCGGGCTGTCTTGGCTATTGGTTGTTCTCACGCCAATTTACAATATTTGCAAATCGTTTCCAGCACTGTTGATTGGCGTCTTCTGGATATTGATTCTAGCTCTCTTCACTGCTCTGGTCCTCTTATTGACATGGTGCCTAACATCTTTCATTCCAACCAATAATGCTGCCAAACATGTGTTGTTGCTCTAATACTGTTATTCTCGATTCCCATATGCACCTCTGAAAGCTAACATGTTTGGAAGCCCATTAACACATCATGAATGAGGTGCCATTATGTTGGAGCCCAAAAGTCTACTTCTTAACCTACAACCCAAAAACTTGGTTCATGGGCTTTTTGTTTATCTCCGAGTCTGGCCTTTCTTAAGGTCATTAAATTGGTTGTCAATTCAATTTATATGTTGGGTTCTTAATCAGTAAACATTAGTTAGGTATAATAACTGTCAATATCCTTAGGAAAAACACTATTTTTGATTCCACTTTCTTTTGGTACAGGTTTCTGTGCTTTTGGTATTGAAAATAAAGATTTTTAATATTTTAAGCCTCTACAGTTTTTTCTTTATCTACAATTAGAGCCGTCAATTAGGACCGAACCCGTAAGGCTGGCCCTTTTAAGCCATAAAAAATTGAGAGTCAAGCCACTACTTTAAAATTTAAAAAGGTAAATTAGGTTTAAAAGGACTGGTCCTTTTAAACTTGAAAATAAGAGGGCCGGCCCTTTTAAGCCTTGATATTTTTTTTGAAAAAAACAACATAAAAAAATAAATAAAAAAAGATACCACATCATTCAAGCTCAGCACTCACTCTCTAGTTCAAATAGTAGACACACACATTATTATTTGCTTACTTTGAATATTTTTGTATTCTTTAAATATCTTAAAATTATGATTTTGATTTATTATTTATTGCAAATAATGAGGATGAAGAAGGAAGATATGAAAAGCTTAAAATATTTGCCATTGATAAGGATACATAAAGAGAAGGATCAAATCATATTGATGTTGATGATGATGAAAATCATCAAAATTTAGTTGATGATACTGCCAATGTGTAATTGATGTCAGAGTTAATTTTGGGATGTTATTTTTTTTATCAAACTTAAAATTTTTGTCGTGTGAATTAATTTTATTTTATTTTCTTAGACTTAATGTGATGTGTAATAACTTTGTTAAAGTTTTAAATATTTCTTTAATTTTTAAATTGAAAAATAAAAAAATAATTAGGGCCGAGGTCCTCAGGGTCAGCCCTTTAGCCTTGAGGGCCAAGGCCGAGTTGCTAAAACTAAAGCCTTGAGATATAATAGAGCTTAAAAGACCCAGCTCGTTTAGGCCTTGGCCTTTGAAAGGCCGACCCTAATTGACAACTCTACCTATAACATTGGTCTTTATATTTTTAGAGGAATGTTGATGTGACTCAAATGGTGTTAATAATGCTGATATATCAATTAACATAATTAATTTTATATTATGTGTCAAATTGATGTCGACATGAAATTTTTTAATAAGCAAAAATTTAAAAAATAATCTATGTAAGATGAAATAAAAGGTTGACCTAGACTCTTTAAATGATCAACAAAATACACAAATTTTATATAGGTTTTTTTTTAAAAGAATTTTTTATTAAAATTTTTATGTTAGAATTAGTTTGACATGTAAGAAAAAAATTAATAATGTTAATTAATATGTCAGTATTATTAATATTGTTTGTGCCAAGTCAACATCTCCCTAAATATGTAGGGACTAATGTTGCAGATGGAGAAAATGAAGAGATCTAAAATACCAAAAATAAAGTGTAGGGGATTTGTATCAAAACCCAAGTAAAGTTATGAACCAAAAGTATTATTTACTTATATCTTTATAAAAAGATATTTCCTCTATTTCATATTAAGAAATATACTTAATATGACAAAATTTTACATTTCAAATTTGCCCCTAATTCGTTTTATAATTAATAAAGTGAAAACAAAGGAACAAATATACTTATAAATGATGCATTGAGATTATAAATAAGTATGTATTAGGAAGAGTATCAATAGATTACATTAAATAACTTTTAAAAGGATATGTAATACTCCTTTTATTAAAAAATGTAAAGTATTTTTAACTGATTCACATTTTTAATAAAATAATTACTTATTTTTAAATCAATCATATCTTTCCATATATATTTTCATTTAATAAAATATTTTACCTTTAAAAAATATAAAATAATCTATTTACTAGGGGCACTTTAAAAAAATTAATAATTACACCTTAAAATATTCAAAATGTCTTATATTTTTTAATATCCAATCTCTTAAAAAATATCTTATATTTTTGAATGGAAAGAATATAAAATAAAAATTTTCTTTCAAAAATACTTATATTTTAAAAGAAAGGAGTAATATATACTATAGAATTTTCAACCATGAATTATATGATTAATTAAGTCTTTGAAAAATAATTTGATATTTTATGTCACAATTTTATTAGAAGACTAATTGAGTGTAATTCAACATTTTTACCCCATTCTAATTTCTGCTGAAAAGCACACACAGATATATATATATATATATATAGAGAGAGAGAGAGAGAGAGAGAGTAATGAAAGCAGCAGCAAGAAATTATTCACACAAGTGATTATTACATGCAACGAAAGAGGGCGAACTTATCATTAAAAGACACGCAACTTAACATATTAAAACTGGTAATTAAAACTGAAATTGATGGACAGCACAGGTGGAGCCTCCTCCTGATTGCTCAATTTATTTATTCTTCAATACTCACTCGTAATATTATAGCCGTTTCGGCAGCCATGCATCTCCGTCCTCTGTTTTCAGAACCTAATGCTGCAAACCAATCAGTAAAGCCTTGATTATGTTTGATTAACTGACAACTTTAACCAATCAACCTCTTAATATATCACATGCATGTATAGATAACACATGTGATGTGAAATGTAATGATTTTTTTTTTTTTAATGAACTCGTCACTTCATGAAAAGGGAAAAAGAATCAGTAAAAAGGAAGACCTGGCGCAGTTGGTGGACATGCTGATCTTGTAGGGGATGAAAACCCTGCAGCGAGAAGGCAGAGCCTCGGCGAACTGGGATTTGACTCCCGGCACTCTACCGGCGGCTGCTTTGAGGCAGTTACAGACTGCCTGGCGGTCCGGGGTGGTTCGAGCAGAGTTCACGGTGGTCCTCACTCCGTTGCAGCATGCCGGCGGAGGACCCCCGCCATTCTTCAGGTAATTCAGGCACGGCGCTAGGTTGCTTTGCACCTGACCACACGTAATGGCCTCACCCACTGCGACCACGACCACCGCCATGCACCCTGCCACCATGAGGAGCCTTCCCATCATTTTGAGAACACCACCAAAGTTACCAGTAGTAGAGATTGCTTGCTTTGAGATTGTTGCTGAATTGCCGTGGTTGCTTTGATCTGTGAGTGGCAAGTGATGGGAATCGAAGTGTTTATATAGAGAGTGATCCAGGAACGTAGTATCCCAGCTTGCTAGTAAGTCACTAGCTACGAGTTTTGGAGACTGCAGCAGAGCCATAAGTTGTTGGCAGTTGCGTGCAATTTAATGCTCTCTCATGTCTATCTTCACAATATTAATCTTAGGTATGCCCAATTTTGACCACTTCTTCTTTTATAAATAAAATATAGTTACTTGATGAAATTGGACATATATATATTGAAGTTTTTCGTGACAGAGTGTGTGACTGTGAGCAAAACAGCACCGATCAGGATCATGTGGCGTCAACTCTTAAATGATCCGGACACATATTACAAGAATTGAGATAAAGCGTGGGAAGTATCAACCAATTTTAATAACCACCTTAGTGAAATTGCATGGAGCAAAAATGTCTCAAGTGTATGGGTCGATATGCAATTAGTGGTAAAGCCAAGATTGAAGTCAAGGGATGCAGGATAATTTAATAAAAAAATAGTATTTTTTAAAAATTAATAATTATACTATAGGACAAAAATTATAATAACTTAAATAGATTGATTTATTATTTTTTTAAAAAATTATATTGAATAAGTTGATATAATCTTTTATGTAAATATGCTCTTTTATATAAAATATAAATCATTAAGCTATTTTATATATAATAAGTTTTTAAACTCAAATATTTTTTATTTAGTTTAAAAGGTGCAAAATATAAAGAGTAGGGGGCAATAGTTGCAAAATTTACATACCATATTTGTAATATTTTTTAAGTAAGGGGGTGCAATTTTTCCCTCACTATCATGTAACTCTGTCAATGCATGCAATATATTAATGCGTTAAGGTTGATTCTACAAGGAATTAGACAAAATAGCAATTAAGCAATAAAGTTTTTACTTTTGTTCACATTAAGCAAAACTACTTAAAATTGATTGGCTTAAATCCAAAAACCATTTCAATAAAAAGTGACTTAGAGTCACTAATTCCCCATTAACTTCTTAGACTCAATTTAACCTAATTAATTAATTTTAAAGCCAATTTGTTATTAGGAGTTTTAATAGTTGTTAGGGTCTTTCAATCCATTAACAACCTTATCTCTTAAATTAATTATGTTATTTCTAATACAATTATCTAAGAGGAAACTCAAACAAAAAACACTCACAATGATTATATGGGGCAATTACATATATATATATCCTAATTACAAATTAGATAAAATTTAATTTCATATTAATCAATTCAATGGTCTAGATGAGATTCCTTTTTGTTAAGAAAAAATTCCAACACTCAAGATCACATTTAGTAATGGCCAATCATCAAATGGATATTAAAACACAAGTTGATCAATCAAAATCAATATTAAGCTTAATTAATGGGTAAAAATGAATCTAGGTTCATAACTCCTCTAGGTCTAAAGAGAATCAGCCAAACATTATTTTGAAAATAGCAAAACTCAACAAATTAAAGAATATATCAAATTGAAGAAGAGAAGGAGAAGAAAAGCTTAATCGGAGTGATTTTGGATGAAAATAACTAGTTTATGAAACTTAAGTTTCTCCACCTCATCCATGGCATTTTTCTCTCTTTCCTGGTTAGTTTTCAACTACCAGAGTCGAGCAATGTTGAAGAATGATGAGTCAAAATGTTAAAAACCCTAAAAATATCAATTTTTCATGAAGCTGTGCTTTTCATTAACTCATGCTTATACTGCAATATAATTGGGTTAAACTGTGGTGTGAACCACTCTATCACTGTCACTGTCATTGTCAGCTTACATTACGTTGTAATGTAATTCAGATATGCTATAGCATAAATCTTGCCTTTTCTTCATCTTTAATCTTTTCTTTCATATGGCACTTTGACTTATAATTATCACCTTATGCATAACATAACATTATTAATACAATTTTAGCTCAAATAATATATTCATTTCAACAAGATACTACCAATTCTCCTTTTTTATATTCAAAAGCACTTTTCTTTCTTTTTCCTCAAATAATAGCCTCACTTTCTCTCAAAATTACCTAAATGATTCCAAATTAAACCCACAATTTCCTAATAATACATGAAAATATTTGGAGTCATCAGCCCATTTACAATTTTTTTGATCTTAACCAATCTAATCCTTCTTCACAGGAAAAGGCGTTTTACAAACACAAAACAACGCTGACTCACCAGCACACAACACAACACAACACAATTTTAACTAACCCGATACACTAATCTAACCTAAATCCCCACCAATTTTTTGGGTTTAGGGAGATAGAATTCACAACTCCTTGCTTTAAGGAAGAACGCTCATGCCATTGAACCAAGTTGTTCTTGGCATATTTTCTCACAATTATAAAGTCATAATTAGCAGGTCCATTTTCAATTTTTTTTCATTTTAAAATTAGCAAATAAGGTATTGTTTTTGAAAGGATATGCAGAAGTCACAACATTCAGAATCCCATTTTCTCCACCAATGGGGCCTTTGAGTAAAAGCCCAAGGGAAGGCAACAATCATGGTCATGGCGCAAAAATTGAATCGATCCATTAACTGCTTGTAGATTGGAAGCTCGTTCATTAACCCTATTAGATATGGTTCCTATTTTCCAACCTCTATTGAGTTTTTAGAAAAAGATCACAGATTTATATCAAGAAAAGGATGACGATAAGCCCAGTAACTGATCTCCCTTCAATCTAGTTCAGTCGAGAGCTGACTTCACGCATGCACAGGGCTGAACCTTGCTAATTATTATTTGTAAGCCGAAAGAGTTGGGCACGTTGAAAGTTGGAACCGAGAATGGATGAACTGGATGGGTCCAATCAGAAATATGGTAAGGCATGGTTTCCTATTAATTTTGGATCAGAAACCAAACTGTTTCTGAGATTTTCCATTCCTGAACGCATGGCTTCCTTCCTGCAATTTCATGTGCTGCCCATATCATCAGTACAAAGGTGCATGTCCAAGAAAAGTATTAAAAAAACCTATAATTGTTTAAACGAAGGGCATTACCATAAATTTGAGATATTAGCAAAGATTCTTGAATCCTTCATGGATCGCAGTCGCAGTGTAGGAATAACGTGTCGCCGTATCAAAATTTGGAATAACGGTTTTATTCAGTTGATAAGAAAACAATAAAGTGCTGTTGCTTGAAGGCAGTGCGTTGAAGGAGACTGCTCATTAAGCTTTTGTTTTCTTTGCAAAAACTGTATCATAAAAAAACAAGTGCGTGCTTGACTTTTCTTCCCAATTGCCCACATTCTCCGTATAATATACTAATATACTAATGCCGAACGGAACCTGATTGTCCCAAAAAAAGTGTAACGTGGGCAGTACGTGGCGTACGTGCATGTCTTGTGTATTTTCTTCGGCCACGCGTTTTTTCATTGACTCTTCTAGGCTTTTATTTTAGGAAAAATAATTGCCCTACAAAATTTATATCAATTAAAAATTAACTGTTATTAAAATATAAAAGAAAAATAAACCCAAATGAAATATTATTAATTTAAAATAAATTATTATTAAAAATTAAATAAATATTTATTAATAAAAGAATAACCCAAATTCAATTTCCCCACGCGAGAAAATGTAAGATCCCCACTAAGGTCTGAGGCAAGATCGCAAAAAATCCGGACCAAGACGGGTTGCTTGTTAATAGACAGTAATTAAAGAATCATAGAATTAAATTTAAGAGGAAAAACTGAAAATACGCCTTTCAGTTAAAAAAAAAAAAACTTAAAATGCCCCTAGAAATAAACAGTTACCAATTTTTATAAAGTATTTTATCAAGTTAATAAAACTTAGATCTGGTTCAAAAAATATAACATTTATAATTAATTTACGGGTTAACCTTCTTCACTTGCGTGAATGAGCCTTTTCAGCTGATGGCCCTCCATTTTGTGCTTCTTTAATCTCTGCCAAGCAAATAGTGCATAATTAATTATTTTGGGATCTTGAGCTCCAGTTCTAATATATATAGTTGGGTTAAATAAAACTATTAAAGGCATTTTTGAGTATTTATGATGTTGCTGTTGATAATAATAGTCCTACCTATCAGGAAACAGGAATTTAGATTTGTGTGAGTGGGTAGCGGTAATAGTCAGGATTTTCCAACATACCGGCATAAAAAAATATTAATTATATAATTACACATCCATCCTCGTGGTCAAAGAAATCTATATTCTATAATCTATAATTAATTAAGAAAATTGTAATTACCGCAATGTGCTTCCTGCTTCACACGTCTTTCGAAATGTCGGTAAAAGTGCATCAAATCATATAATAATCACAATTCACGTATATGACCTCTAATTTTTTTAGTGAAAATATTATTTATTTACATAAATTATTTCAATGAAGACGTCATTGAAGAGTTGATGCGCTTAAAGCAAAAAAGAGGCAACATTACTCTGCAATGGCACAGTTTATTTTATTTTTTCGAAAAAAGAAACTAATTTAATATTCAATAAAATAAAATGGATTAGAAAATATTTAAATGATATTAGCATATAATGATAAGTCAAATGGAGGCGGTGGTAGAGCCAGGGCTTGTAGTCAGGAGGTGCAAGATAATTTAATTTAAAAATTAATAATTTTTTTAAAATAATAATTACATAATGATTAAAATTGTAATAACATAAGTAGATTGATTATCATTTTTCTTTTTAGAAAATGATATTGAACAAGTTAATATGGTTTCTTATGTCAATATCTTCTTCATATTTTATGATCATTAAAATATTATGTATTTAATAAGCTTTTGAGCTGAAATATTTTTTATTTAATTCAGATGGTGCAAAATATAAAAAATAAGGAGTGCAAAGTGTTGTGTGTGTGTCAAAAGTCTCACATTGCCTAAATAAAGAACTATCCTAACGTATAAATACTAAGGAATGAAGTAGACTTGGAGAAGAAGTGGGTTCACACATGTGAGACAGGCCAACTCAGGGCAATCATAGTTGAAATTAGCCGATTCGGCCCCCCTGCACGTGAGTTCAAGAAGCACTGGGTTCCTTTTACTAGATTATTTTTACAAAATAATTAAATAAATAATTATTTTTAGCTTACCCGAAAAACCTCAAATTTTGCTATTTAAATTTGAATTTAAAGCCTTGACAGTTTTTTGGGCATTAAACCACTTTT